ATTTGGAGAGGTTTGGGGATTTTGGGGGGATTTGGAAGGAGCGTGGGGGGATTTTGGGGGAAATTGGATTTTTTTTAGGGTTTGGAACAGTTTTAGGATTTTTTGGGGAGATTTGGAGGGGGCATGGGGGGGTTTTGGTGTATTTGGGGTTTTTGGAGCAGTTTTAGGATTTTTGGGGAGATTTGGAAGGAGCATGGGGAGATTTTTGGGGAAATCGGGATTTTTTCAGGGTTTGGAGCAATTTTAGGATTTTTGGGGAGATTTGGAAGGGGCATGGAGATATTTTTGGTGTATTTGGGGTTTTTTGGGGTATTTGGAGAGGTTTGGGGAGATTTGGAAGGAGCATGGGGAGATTTTGGGGGAAATTGGGAATTTTTCGGGGTTTGGAGTAATTCTAGGATTTTGGGGGTATTTGGAAGGAGCATGGGGGTATTTTTGGGGAAATTCGGATTTTTTTAGGGTTTGGAGCATTTTTAAGATTTTTGGGGGGTGATTTGGAAGGAGCATGGGGAGATTTTTGGGGAAATCGGGATTTTTTCGGGGTTTGGAGCAGTTTTAAGATTTTGGGGGGGATTTGGAGGGGCCCGGGGGGATTTTTGGGGCCGGGATTTGGGGTGACCCTCACTTGAGGGGGTACATGCGCAGCGCCACCCCCATGCCCGGGCAGTAGGACAGGAACGCCGCCAGCGCCGTCTCCTCCAGCAGCCCGAAAATCAGGATTTTGTTCCTAAAAAATTGGGAAATTTTGGGGTTTTTTAGGGTGTTTCGGGAGACTTGGGGTTTTCTGGGGGAGGTTGGAGAGGTTTGGGGATTTTTTTGGGGTTTGGAAGGGGGAAGGGGGTTTGGAGAGGGTTTGTTGGGTTTTGGGGATTTGGGATTTTTTGGGGTTTTTTTTTGGGGTGGGAGAGGTTTTAGGATTTTGGGGTGATTTTTGGGGTGGTTTTGGGGTGTTTTGCGGGTGTTTTGTCGAACTTTATGCCCTGCTGGAAGACGGAGTTGTGGCACATTTTTGGGTGGGATTTTGGGGTGGTTTTGGGGTGATTTTGGGGTATTTTTGGGGTGGTTTTGGGGTGCTGTGTCACACTTCATGCCCTGCTGGAAGATGGAGTTGTGGCACATTTTTGGGGTGATTTTGGGGTATTTTTGGGTGGGATTTTGGGAGTGTTTTTGGGGTGGGATTTTGGGGTGATTTCAGGGCATTTTAGGGGTGCTGCGTCGTACTTCATGTCCTGCTGGAAGATGGAGTTGTGGCACATTGTTGGGGTGATTTGGGGGTATTTTTGGGGTGATTTTGGGGTGGTTTTGGGTGGGATTTTGGGGTGATTTTGGGGCGGTTTGGGGTGGGATTTTGGGGTGATTTCGGGGCGATTTTGGGTGGGATTTTGGGGTGATTTTGGGGTGGTTTTGGGGTGCCATGTCGCACTTCAGGCCCTGCTGGAAGATGGAGTTGTGGCACATTTTTGGATGGGTTTTGGTGTTGTTTTGGGGTGATTTTGGGTGGTTTTGGGTGGGATTTTAGGATGGTTTTGGGTGGGATTTTGGGGTGATTTTGGGGCCGTCTGGGGTGAGATTTTGGGGTGATTTTGGGGCGGTTTTGGGTGGGATTTTGGGGTGATTTTGGGGCGGTTTTGGGTGGGATTTTGGGGCGGTTTTGGGTGGGATTTTGGGGTGATTTTGGGGCGGTTTGGGGTGGGATTTT